AAGTTGGATTTATCTTAAATTTCTTCTAATTACTTCATTTATTTTATGATTTTTTTTCATATTTGGAAGGTGGGTACCTCAAATGGTCCTCTATTTTTTATGGAGTAAGGGGTCCCTAGCGTCAAGGCCAAGTTCACTGGTTTAAAAAAACAAATTTAAACATTTTTGCTCATACAACTTTTACTTTTTAAGTTGATGTCATTCATGTTTAATACAAACTGCTAAGGAAGGTCATCTTCCATTGGGTTTAATTAGGGTTCATTTGGTCAAGGTCAAGGTCACCAATGTCAAAAATGTATTTTTATACTTTAACAGGTGTACTAATCTTATTCTATTGAGAGATGTCTCTTATATTTGGTAAAAATATGAACATTTGTTGTTTTTTGTTTCTTCGTTTGGAGTTATGGTTCAGTTGGATAAAGGTCACTAGTGCTAAAAATAGATTTTTACACTTAGCTCATACATTCTTTATTTATTGACAGATGTATTTCATATTTGGAAGGAAAATAACTTGCATGGCATTCTTCCTGCTGATTGAGGTAGGGGTCAGTGGGTCAAGGTCGCCAGTGCTTAAAATAGATTTTTACACTTTTGCCTATAGAGCCTTTATTTATTGATAAATCTGTTTCATGTTTGAAAGGGTGATAACTTGCTTGGCATTCTTCCCTTTTGATGGAGTTATGGGTCAGTTGGGTCAAGGTCGCCAGTGCTAAAAATAGATTTTTACACTTTTGCCCATACAGCCTTTATTTATTGACAGATGAATTCTATATTTGCTAGGGTGACAACTGATATTTTTCCTTTGGATTGAGTAAGGGATCAGTAGGATCAAGGTCACAAGTGCTTAAATTAGATTGTTTCACTTTTGGCCATAGAGCCTTTATTTGTGGACATATTTATTTCATATTTAGTTGGAAGATAACTTGCGTGTTTTTATTCTTAAGATTGAGTTAGGAGTCACATTTGCTAAAACATCCTTGATAAATTATTTATTTACTTACATTTTTCACAAGAACAAAACGCCATGACTCTGTCAAGTAACATAACTGTGTTTACAAGTTTTTACTATTTTCCGTCCTTTACTGAGTGAATGGGTAAATATTTTTTAAATATTGTTACTGACAAGAATCTGAGCCTGGGGCATTTGTCTTTAACAAACGCGTTCTTGTTTCTTCTATTATAATCACTGAAATGTGATTTAAACACTTATACTAAACAAGAAGGCAATTATGACCCTATATCCCTGTATAAAGTCCATGTATGTAAAAGAGCTTTATACAAACTGGAGCTGCCAACAGAATTACAAATACCTTAATTACACATGAAATCATTATTTTTGAAAGAAAATAGATTATAGAAAAAATCATTTGATAAGTATAAGTGCTTGAAAAATGTTCTAATTGCTTTATTTAACTTCTGACAATTTTGACAGGTTTAAAATTTAGGGAGGTAACACAAATACACTTAATTCCAGAGGTAACACGTCACGCATTTTTTATATAATTAGAGACATCTTGGACAAATTGCGTTTAAATTTGAAATAAGAATAAATCAACAAATCATGCGTAAGGGATAAAAACATTCTTAACAGTCACTCAAAATGTTAAGACACAATAGCAATGCCTCCTAACTTAATGTAGATAATATGAAATATTAATCACAACAGGAATACAGCTTTTAACCCATTTTTTCTGTGAATTCAGGCATATAACTATTTCAAACACCTCACCTCTCACCCCATTGCACACACCCACTTAAATTATTTTGCAAGTTTTGACGTATATAGTCTAAGATATGTTATGGCAGTTTTAGGCATTGCAAGAAGTAAAGGAGACGCTTGGTCATTTTCCGAGAAAACATTTTTAAAAAATCAAATAACATTTTTATCAAACAAATGTACCGAAATAATTTGTCTAAAAAAACTCTCGTAGATAAATTATAAGGAGTTGTTGAGGTCCAATATATATATTAAAACTATAATGTTAAATCTTGCCTATTTTCACTAGCTATAATCTTATTTTAAAAGACATGCTAGGTGATGGGGAGCAAGATCAGTCAAGCAGAAGACAGATCATAGAGAAGCATGCCAAGAACCAAGATCTGAATAAAGTTACATTCATCATTCTTGCGATGTCTGAGCATATCATTGATCAAGCTATATCAAAGTTGGAAAGTTGTCTCGATAAGGAAATAACATCTAACAGTTTTGATGATAGTATCATAATGAATTTGAATGATCAACAGGTAAGGAAACTTGTAATTTACCTGCATATTCTAATACTATTATTATGCATGGAAAGGTTTTGAAGGGGCGTCAATAGCGAAGTGGTTAAGGCCGTTCAAATTTCAAACCACTAATTGCCACTTTATGTTCCTACAAATCTTGACAGGGACTTTGGATACTTTCATGTATGGAAGCTACCCAGTTAGTAGAGGGAACTTCCTAGGTTCTTCTGTATACCTAAAATAATTCACAGATGGTCACCTTAGGTCTCCTTCACCCGTAAAGCTGGAAAGTTGCCATATAACCTATACTGCGTTGGTGTTATGTAACACCCAACAAAAAACTATTTTGGCCTAGTATGTTATGCACATAGTCATTTGTCCGTCTGCTCTGGAAAAAAATTAAAACTCCTTGGAAGAAGTGTTAATCATAATGAGAAAATATGCAGAGTACAAGTTCAGTGTTAGTTTAGGTAATAGTCAGTATGTATAAATTTTAGAATAATTTACGAACAGCTTAAACGAAATGAAAATTATTCAGTAGAAATATCAAATATAATGAAAAAATATGCAGATTACAGGTTTGGGTTTCCTAATATCAAAATTAGCCTCTTCTCAGATCATTCTTTCCAGGTGTCGATTAGTTTATATTGGCTAATATAGAAAAACAAATTAGTCCTGTTTTGCTTTTATTCAGCTTTTTCACCTAGTAAATAACATAGAAACCAAAAATACACCAAAAAGACATTGACTTAGAATGCCGTTTTTGGTAATTAATATCAACAAACTCTACTAATAAATTTTTAAACAATAATTTGTGTATATTGGCGTTATTATTTAAAACACCACTAAGGTCAAAAAGTCCTAAAATATAAAATTTCAAATTCTTGTACACTTCATAAGATGCATTTCAAAAGATAAATCTGCTAAGAGTTATGTCGGAAATAGCCCAGAATTACACTTAATTTAATTTTATGTGCATTTTTAGCCTGATTGCAATGCTTTTTAATTTTTGGGTCATGTCTGACAGGGATGATTATCTTGGAAAAAAGTATGAAGGGGAATGATCTTAAAATTTGCACACAATTTATTGATCCATACCTACATTAAAGGCTACACAGATCTCGGAAAATAATTTTCTACTCCACTCATGTAAAAATACCTTAATGAAGTCATTTTAATAAATGCTTTAAAATTCAAGATTGTCTTGAAATAACCTGATCAAAAGACGTATGTATGTACATATATTTTCACAGAGAAACTAAGCTTGTAAATATGTTAAAATAAAGTCTGAAAATTATGCATCATTTAATTGATGCCATCTCATTTTTATACCCCCAAAAACGAAGTTTGGGGGGGTATATAGGAGTCACCCGGTGGTCGGTTGGTTGGTCGGTCGGTCGGTCGGTCGGTCCAGACGTCCGTTGCATTTTCCTTGTCCGGAGCAAAACTTGAAGACTAATGGTTGGAATTCAATATAACTTCATACAATGGTCAAGCACATTGAGAGGAAGTGCAATGCACAAGAACCATAACTCTGTCTTGACTAATTACAGAGTTATTGCCCTTTGTTACTTTTCCTTGTCCGGGGCATAACTTGAAAACTACTGGTTGGAATTAAAAACAATTTCATACAATTGTCAAACACAATAAGGGGAAGTGCAGTGCACAAGAACCATAACTCTATCTAAAGTAATTACAGAGTTATTGCCCTTTGTTACTTTTTCCATTGCTTTCCTTTGTCCGAACCATAACTTGAAGACTAATGGTTGGAATTCATTATAACTTCATACAATGGTCAAGCACATTGAGAGGAAGTGCAGTGCACAAGAACCATAACTCTATCTTGACTAATTACAGAGTTATGGCCCTTTGTTACTTTTCCTTGTCCAGAGCATGACATGAAAACTACTGGTTTGAATTCAAAACAACTTTATACAATGGTCAAGCACAATAATGGGAAGTGCAGTGCACAAGAACCATAACTCCATCTTGACTAATTACAGAGTTATTGCCCTTTGTTACTTTTCCATTGCTTTTTTTGTCCGGAGCATAACTTGAAGACTAATTGTTGGAAATCAATATAACTTCATACAATGGTCAAGCACATTGAGAGGAAGTGCAGTGCACAAGAACCATAACTCCATCATGACTAACTTAAGGTTATTGCCCTTTGTTACTTTTCCTTGTCCAGAGCATAACTTGAAAACTACTGTTTGGAATTCAATACAACTTCATACAGTTGTCAAGGACATTAAAAGGAAGTGCAGTGCACAAGAGCCATAACTCCATTTTGACAAAATACAGAGTTACTGCCCTTTGATACTTTTCTTGTCCGGAGCATAACTTAAAAGGTACTGGTTGGAATTCAAAACAACTTCATACAATGGTCAAGCACAATAAGAGGAAGTGCAGTGCACAAGAACTATAACTCCATCTTCAGTATTTATAGAGTAATTGCCCTTTGTTCCTTTTCCTTGTCTTTCTGGACTTATTACAGAGTAATTCAATAAAACTTCATCAATGACCAACCACATCGAAAGGAAATGCAACATACAAGAACCACAACAATCTTTAATCGCCCACAACCATAACTCTATATTTCAATTCTTTTACAAGGTATTTTGTTACTAGTAACATCCTCATTTCCGAAGCAGTCTTGTTGGGGGTATTAATCACATTTAGTGATAGTTCTGGTTAAAGTCCTGCTAAGTACGTTATTGAATTGTAGACTTAAATAATTTCACCTTTGATTATTATGTTATTTTTAACTTCAGATTATGGAAATAAAAAATGTGGCAACGAAACATCATCTGGACGTAAAGGTGGAATCTTCTAAAGGTATCATACAAATAACAGGAATTTCTGCAAATGTCAGTAAAGCTGCGGATAATATGCATAGGTATATGAATTTTATAATAAGACATTAATATACTTTATTGCATGTAATCATCAGAGATATTTATTTGTGTTATCATCACAAGACATGTTGTTGTCAACATAAATGTTAAGTTTGTAAACTTCAACCATCACAGCATATAATGCTAAAAGCATGTAGTTTTAGCCATTTTGAAGTCCTCATTCTGGAGGCAGGAGCCAAGAAACTAGATTATTCTTAATTTCTCTTATTATACTAATTATACTCCCATAAAAGTTTAGGGGAGTATATAGCAGTCATCTTGTTGATCAGTCAGTTAGTCGGTTGGTCCATTTTATGGTTTCTAGCCAATATCTAGAGTTTGAAATGAGTTATATTATTCAAACTTGGTATATAGCAACCATATGTGAAAAACCAGATAAGGATGGTTTTTGAACGCTCTGTGATAAAGGTCACTGTTATTAAAACAATGGTAGTTTTTATAGTTCACTGACAAGAATTAAAACATTAATCGTAATTCTTCAACAGACATCTTTGATAATTATTTGACAGGATTTTGCGACACGCTGTATCTGTCGAACAAGAAAGAAAATCAGCGGAGTTGAAGAGTAACCTAGTCCAGTGGAGTTACATTGAAAATGAGGACACGGGACAGACTTTAAAACCATATGATAAAGAGCTGAACTACAAGATAGAGTGTGCTTACCTTTCAAAAGCTGATTGCGTTAAATTCAGGTAGATATTTTCTAGATCGTTTTAGTTGGTTCATTTCTATGTGTGATTAAGCTTTAAGGCTTTAGGGGGGTATGTCCGTTTGTCTATGTTTAAATCCTGACAATCAATGAGTAACCGGAGAATCAAGTACTCAATGTCGATTTCCAAGTACTCAATATAAAAAAGTAACACGTAATTTTTCTGTCGTAAATATTATTATAGTGATATATAAGAATTTAGAATTTCTTAAATATAATGTTCACTTTAGAAATATTTAGAATTTTCAAATTTAATCAATTGTGCAGAGGTGTGGAAAATGTTATCGCAATATGGTAAATGTTTTTAATGAGGCAAACAGTTTTTTTATGCAAGTAACACGCGTATTCTTATTACATTTAATCACTAGTACAGTAGCAAAATTTGTTTTGATGTTCTTGAAAACTGCTTTTAAGGGCTTATAGTTTTCAGTAGCATCAGGTTTAATTAAAAATTAAGCCCCTTGAATCAAACATCTTTTTGTCTTAATTTCCTTGCATTTCCAGTCAATTATGTGTATCAAAATAGAAAACAAAGAATGGATCGATAACAATTTCATTTTTTTTTTCAAAAAGTAACCGTCTTTCTCCTCATGAGGGATTTATCAGAAATAGGAGATAGATGGATTGCATACGTTTAACAAAGTTAAACATAAGTTTTTGAAAATCCAAAGATATCTTCCATGTAACATGGATCAGAAGAATGACTGTAATGTTGAAATGGGTAATTGTTACCAACCCTGTCAAAAGATGTGGATTTTGGAAGTTTTCAGAATATTTTACTATTTTGGATTGTAGGGCAGATAAAACTAATTACATTCTCGACTTTTCAAAAATGGAGGAGTTTCCAGAAGATGATCCAAACGATAGTGTGACTGTGATACGCGGGGATCTTGTGAAACGTGAGTAAATACTGCTTCAGACTTTATGCATCATTATTTGAAATTTATTTATCACAGACATATAGTCAAACATTTGAAGGTATATAAACAAATTGTATTATTTACTTATAAATGAAATTTTGAGAAATAATGTATATTTTCATTTACCATATTTTTCACTGTAAAAATTTTATTTTTCTCTGCAGTGAAACATATTTTCTGTATGGTGTCCTGCCAGACTACTTTTTTCTTAATACTGCCAATACACAGAATTAAAGAGAATTCTTAAGAATTATTATGTAAAAAAAGAGAAAAAGTATATAATAGATTCTTTAAATGCAGGGTTCATTTTTATCTTATGATATGAAATATATTTTAGTAATATTTCAACAAAATTTGATGTTAGTATTTTATGCAACCAGGCCTGTATAGTTGACCACTGGCAATGAAAATAGAAACAACAGTTAAGATAGCTGTTCTTTGAAAACAAGCAAATTTGGTGTTGGAATACTGAATGACAAAATATATATTTTCAGTTCAGATAAACATTAATACTCTTAATTATAATCGTTGGTGATAGTAAAAAATAGTACTAAATGTTTAAATCAATTTATTACATACTTAAAGTAAAAACTAATTTTCATATGCATGTGTTATATTAATTGGCAAATTTTCAGGTATTTTTTTATCATTGATAGTTTTTTCAAGTTTCATATACCATTTGAAAAGAAAAAGAAAAAAGTATCCTGTAGGGGATGTGGTGTCAAGTTTTGAAAGGAGATTATGCACAAGGGGATTTAATTATTACTTTATATAAATAATCACCCCCTTGAGATGTAGTGTCGGGGCACATGAACTAGGTCTCTATATGTCAAAGGTCTGACAAACCTAGACGAGGTCACACTTAGATGTCAGAGAAAAACATTTGTTTGGAGCAAAATTTAAATTTGTATTGAACAATTTTAATATACATGTAACTTTGTTCAGATGTTAATCATTGTAAGGTTGATTGCAACACCCAAAATTAAGTTCCCTGTTGCCAAGGTCTGTCACATGTTCAGCTCGAAGGTTAGATCATAATATGAAAATGTGTTTATGAATTTGAATTTGATTTAGGGGTTAATTACCACAAATGTTCACAATCAGAGTGTAACCAGCATAATTCAGGTCAATATGTGCAAGGTCAAGGTCACCAAATATGATGAGAGGTCCATACGTTGTCAGGAGTATATCTTCTACATGCAAACATATATTATACAGATATTTATTTCCTTGAGACATAATGTCAAGCACGTTTGTCAAAGGTCAAAGTCACACTTCGAGGTCAGAGGAAATCACTTGTCTGCAGTAAAACTTGAGCATGCATTGAGAGATTTTAATAAAACTTGGCACAATGTTCACCATTTTCAGGTGAAATGTGGCACACAAAATTCAAGTTCCTGTTGCTAAGGTTAAGGTCACAAGCTGAGGTCAAAATATTGTCAGATCAAAATTTAAAAATGTGTGTACAGACAATTTTGTAGTCTTTAATTTAAAGATATTACAAATCTTTGCAAAATTCGGGTCTTTGTGTCATATGTCATGGTAGCATGCAGAGGTCAAAGGTAAAAAATATGGATTTGCCTTTGTCCGTTCTTCATGCTGTTTGTTCATAGACTGCAGTATGTGTCTTGCCTGTAATTCATAAAAAGCAATGAAGATTTCTAAGAATAGTTCTCAGCATGTGGACTTACAATTAAAAGGTCATGGGGTTCAAAATAATCATGAAATTAAATGGCCATTACTAACCTTAATCATAAGACAAATGTACTTCCATCTGAAGCATGATAACTTCTTATGTAAATGCAACTTCATGAATTTTACCAACCAGACTCGGTGATTACAGAATCAAAGGTCAAGGTCACATTAGCCTCAAAGAATCACATAATTATTGCAGTTATAAAGTAGAAGACTTTGCATCAACAACCTTCAATTTTTATGGATGTAGGTCAATTCACCCATCCATTGGTGTGCCATGGCCTTCATATATGACATATGACATGTTTACTTGAGATATTCATATTGCTAAATAAACATTTTGAGATGATGAGAAACTTTTATCAAACGCTTTATTTTGTTATCATAATGTTTGCTGATGAACTCCTAGAATAGTTAAAAGACAGCACTTTTTTTGGAATGACATACATTTTTGTGATCAAACAAGTGTATTATGATGTTGTTAAATTGTTCCAGAGGGCGCATTTGAAGCACCAGCACTTTGGGCAGATATGACTGGAAATCTAAGAGTTGTTGTTTTACAGCCGACAAGTCAAGAGTATACAGATATTGCACAAAAGTTCACTACTTCTTCTGGTGGCACTTTTACAGTTGTCAAGGTTTGTATATGCAGTAACATAAATATGTTTACAATTGCTTTAACATCTTTTTTCATGCATTTAACATCTGAACAGGTCGCCTATTTCTTTGTAGCTCTAGAAGCATTGTCTATACAGTGTACCACAGTGCATTGATTTCTGCTGTTTTGTATGCACAAAAAGTGCAAAAGACTATTCTCAAACGTTTCCATCAAAACTATCGGAGCAATTCCCCCAAAACCCTAAATTAAACCACTTCCTGTCTTACCTGACCTTATTTCAGTCTGCCAAACATATTTCCTTTATAAATGGACTTAACTTAAAATACCGGTACATGTACTCCCTTTCACACCAAGGCAGCAGTGGCCAACTCAACAAGCAGTAACCTGACCGGAGTGGCTCAACATTTGTTAGTTAGGCATTTCTTATTTAAATGAAAAAAGAGATATTTCACAAGCTATCCTAGATGTCTGTCCTCATGTACTGCTTTGTCTGTTTTCAACATATTCATTTGTTTGTTTATCCGGAAAAAAACCAAAGCAAGTAAAACCTTGGTGTAATAATTCACTCTAATTATTGTCTAGAACTCACCCTGTCGCCCCAATTACTAATGTCATAATATTAACAGGTATCCTTTTAATATAGTATATTCTACAAGGAGTTTCTATTACCAACTATTATTACAGGTAAACATGATACAAAGTCTGTTAAATTGCTGATTAAAAGTTATAGGTGACGTAATGTACATAATGACCTGGTAAACTTGCTATCAAAAGTAGTCTGAATACTTTAGAGATGAAACTTATACTTGTGTTATTTTCTTTTAAACTTCTTTCTATGACTGAATGAATTAAAGGGAAAATCTTATATGTCTCATTTACAGAGTAAAAACGTAGGATATGCTAGTTTAAATGTAAGAATAATTAAGTTTGATAATTTTGAATGCATCATTATTACACTGCAACCCCGTTATAACGTGCCCTGTTGTAATGCTTAACTCAGTAAAACACTCAAAAGCCTTGACTCCCCCCCCCCCCCCCCCCCCCCTTGTTTTTGGCTGATTATACTTTTTTCATGTAGATTTATTTCATGTCATAACTTCTATAACGCTTTTACTAAAACTGTAATGGCTTTGCATTCTTGATTTATGTTTTTCTTTTGAAAATTTTCTGTTGCTTTTAAATATAATAAGTATTATTTGACAATATATTATGTTTAAATAATTAAATTGTTTTAGAAAAATAGTAATGTCGATATTCATTAAACAGTAAATTAAAATCTTTGTTGTTATATTTATTGGCAGTGAGTGTGAGTAATGCAGTAATTTCGTGATAAGAGCATATATATATATAATAAAAACTTTATAATAAAAACTAAATCGTGTTTACTTAGACCTAACTGAGCTATTACGTGGCGCCTATCAGGTCTGATTGAAGTGAAATTATGTATAATATTAGGTTTGTGACATTTGTTGCAAGTAGATTTTATGCAAAGAAGGATTAGGTATTTGCTTAAATTTCAAACACACAAAATGTCTAAATACTTCTGAAATTTGGTTTTTGGAAACTTTCTTTACATGAAAAAACATCAAATAATATATGGTAGGTTATCATTTTTGCTCACCTGACCATGAAGTGTCATCTAATATATATATCCTCAGCATTTCGGTTGCCAATTGTTAGTTTTTGGACTTTGTAAAATGAAAATAAAAAAAGGTTTAGCCTGTTATGCATCTCTTCTACTACTTTATGTTAATTACACAATTTTGATGTTTTTACGTTTACATGCGGAATCGTTTGTGGTTATTTTCTTTTATGTGAAAGAAAGGAATATAAGACCAAATTTCAATACTTGTGTTGCTTTGAGGAGCTGGTTAGCATGTCGGCTTTAGTGTGTTCTTCTTGTGTGTCATATCATTAGCATGGTCATCATCTCTTAACTTTTAAAAGTCTAAGGGATTTAACTCATGCTTAGTGCGTAAAAGCGATTTTATTTTCCATTGAAGATCAAGTGATGCAGGTGACCAATACATGCTTTAGTTAGTATTCCCAGACTGTATTAAAAAAGGGAAATTTTCCGTACTCTAATCTGATGTTAAACTGAAATTGAGTGTAAAAAACATTGGCCTTTAATATGTTATATACAACATATCTTCTGGTACGGTTTAGGTGTCATTGTATAAATATTACATCCAACTGAGTGTTATAGAAAGCCTGAGCGGTTAGCCTAGGTTGACAATGTTTTGTCAATGGTGAACTTATTGTCCTATCACTTGCAGTGGGATGTTGCATTTATTTTAATATACCAAACAAATCAATATTCAATATATTCAAACATGATAGCTGATATCTAAACCATGGTATCTGATGCACGCTTGGGGGTCATTTGGAAATGGTCAGCAGGCCAAAATGTGATATTTCAGTGCGGCATTTAAAACTGTTTTCCCTCGGACATCACGTACGGCTATATATAAGCAAATAATCATGTGAGGTATATTACTGATAAAAGTTAATTGTTAGAACCTTAGATATTTGGCGTGTACATGAATCATTGTGTAGTGGACCTTAACAAAAAGTTGACAGTGTAGAAATGGCCTAAATCTGTGTCACTTATTACACATTACTTTTTTAGGAAAATAATATTTAAATTATTTTACTCAGATACTAGAATGCCTACAGCTTAAGTATTTGGCATTTTCTAGCAATGGATTGCAGGTGTGCAATCCAGGGCAACGACACCCCTCTTGCTTATGTTAAGTCACTGTAAAATTGAATTGGTTGATTTATTCATTTATTGAGTCTTTCTTTACAGATTGAGCGTATTCAGAACAAGACTTTATGGTCACAGTACCAGGCAAAGAAAAAACAACTGGAGGATAAGAATCCACCTAATACAACAAATGAGAGATTGTTATGGCATGGTACAGCAGCTGAAACTGTTGACAATATCAACGCTTTTGGATTTAACAGGAGTTATTGTGGCAAAAATGGTGTGTACCTTATCAATAATTTTGTCATTTTTCAATCGTGTTTTATTCCCTCTTCAACTAATGTGAGCATACAGTGTGATTGCATGATCTCTCTACAACATTTAGTAAAAGTGTTGATATATGTGGTAATTAGCACAATACCCTGGTATATGGTTTCTAACACTAAGCAGTATCCAGTCCTACCTTTGGTGGCCCTCAACAGAAGTTATATAAATGGTTCCGGTCTGATGCACAAGTAAGTTGTGGAGGTTTTAAAAATACATTTAGGAAATGAATACTTAAAATCACCTCACCAGGAAATATAGCGTCACCTTGCAGTATTCTACAAAAAACGCATGTCCCTTAAAGCTACATTAAATAAATATGTAAAAATATTTTGCCGTCGGCCTAAAAACCAAGCATTCTGCACTTGCCTTAAAGTTTTTAAAAGTAATGGTGTAAATCTCATCAAATATTGTTCATTAATTAGGATTTTAAACTGAAAACCCCACGGTAACACTTAAGTTCGTATACGAATTTTAACATACAAATGAAGACTATAATCTGCTGGTGTAGGCGCTACGTCAACAGTTTTATAGTTGCTATCCGGAACAGCAAATATGATATTTTCTTGTGCAAACACACTTTAACCGTTTTAGCTTCACGGTGCACTAAGCCTAGGGTTCAGAAAAAAGATATCGTCTCAATAAAAAGATTAAATTTGTATGAAAACATCCGTTACAATGCGGAAATATACCGTTAAATTAGAACTGCTACTTATAGTCATGTTTGTTGATTTAATATTGATGTACGGATGATTCGAAGGCGGAGTTTCTCATGCAAATAGAAATCGTACTTACTATTTCGCCATAATGAGGTGGCCCATTTTTATGCTTATAAAACTCATTTTGTTTGTCTGGACACCAAAATAAGATATGATGTCGATATGAAACCCAATTTATTAATGAAATGTCGCTATTTCTGTTTTTATTAAATTTATTAAATGTAACTTTAAGGGTCCAGATTGGCAAAGCCTTGGGATTAATTTTATTTACATTGCCTTTTTTGTCTCCTGTTCAGAGCTCATATTTATATGTTTGTAGCTTTGCCATGTAAGCGTCTCAAAAGTGATATCAATTATGCTCCTGTGGTCAAATTTGTGGGATGGGGGCCGCAAACAGGGCCTTAGACTAGTATAGTAAATAATGAAAATATTCAGTGCGCAGAGTTTAGGAATTTGGCATGTAGAGTTGCGTGATTGACCTGTACAAAAGTTATTTAAATCATTTGCAGTTGGTCAGTTAATACAGACTTGTAAAGAAACCATGTCTTAATAAATCCTAACATGAACTACAATGCCAAGAGCATAGATATTTTGCATATAGTATCACCTTGTAATCTCTTTCAAATTGATTATAATTGTTGTCCTTATGGTCAAAATTGGCACAGCCCCAGGGTTTATATAGGAAAACCCGTTTATTTAAAAAAAAATTGTGTGTTACACTACAATGTCCAATGATTGAATATTGGACATGCAGCATTGCCTGCATATATATAGTCTGAATATCTTATTGTTAATATTATAAGGTCCAATAAAAAATGCTTAAACCGTTTTTGATGTTCCCCCATACAATACATATGTATGTTAAACTTTGTACTTTTTGCACATCTAGAATTTTGTTTGGCTTTAAAATAAAATATTTATTTCAGGAGAAATGGAAAATTTGCAATTAATAAATTTCATAATGTTAATGAAGCATAAGAATTGTATACCATTTTAATGATAAATTTCAAACAGTTTTAATTTCAATTTGTTAGTTTAATTGATATGAACTCAAAAGTCTGTGGCCGAGTAGTTTAGGTCATTGGCTTCAAACAACTTACTCCTTTGTGAATTGGAATCCTGCCAGGGCATGTGAGGAAGCTATCCAACTAGCTTATAGAATGTCGGTGGTTTAACTGAGGTCTTCTATGTAACATTCTGTCTCTCTTCTATTTTCAGCAACGGTCTTTGGGGATGGTGTATACTTTGCAGTCAATGCAAGTTATCCATGCAGTAATACTTATTCCCGGCCTGATCCAAGTGGTGTAAAGAGGATGTATTATTGCCGTGTACTAACTGGAGAATATACCCAGGGTACCAGAGGAATGCGTGTACCACCTATAAAGGGTGGTGCTGGTAGCACTGCTATATTCGACTCTGTTGTAGACAGACAAGATACCCCGATCATGTTTATCATTTTCCATGACACACAAGCCTATCCGGAATATCTTATATCTTTTAAGCCACAGTAAAAAACTGTTATATGTGACATTACAGTGATTTATTTTAATCAATATTGAACAATTAGTTATATGTGTCATACTAGTTATATGTTTCATACTAGTGAAAAGTTTATTCATTAAATTGATAAGTTAAATTGATTAGTTAAATATTTTACTGTTCTGTATGTTTCTTGAATACAAATGTTGATACTTTTGAATGTTACATTTTTGTGTGAGTTTCTTTATCATTACAAGTTGATGTGTATATTGATGTATGTGACATTTTATTATTAAGTTAATTATTAATTTAGGTTATATCAGTGCTCCTTGTAAATAATTGTTATTGCTTTTTTTAACAAATTGATATGCAGTTCTATAATTATGACATTAAAAGACCTTCATTAATACATAACATACAAATTTAATTTCTGCTATATGTCACATCAGCTTAAATTCTGCGATAAATACTAATTGTTACATGTAATATTATAATGTTGAATATATATTTTTCACGATTTCCTTCGTAAATACTGTATAAAAAAACATGTATTTTCTTCTTAATTGCATATTTGGTTCCCTACTTGTTTCAGTGGTAAAGGTCTCTGATTTGCAATCATTTGCCCTCACTGCGGTGGTTTAAAATTCCAGACGGGATTCTTTTTTGTGAGGAAGAAAACCAGCCAGGATATTGTTGTGTGATGGTTTTATTTGACTCCCTTTATAATATTAATGTCTGTTATAATTAAGGAAGGGGTAAATGAGGGGCATCTTCTCCATAAGAACAAAAATATCTCCCCCTTTAGGACATTTAAAGTGTTCAGTGTTTCATTAACTTTAAAACCAAAGAAACAATGTAAATTGCAGTCTCATTTGCTATATGTGAAATTAATGCTATTTACTTCCCCAATATGAATTGTTACAGTGTAATTTTAGCTAATAAGTGCATTTTTAGCTAACTTGTTTTGTGGTCACTTTTCGTTCGTCGTCCGTCCGTCTGTTGTCCATCACTAAACTTAAAGTTTAAACGACATCTCCTCATAAACCGCTTAGCCAATTGCATCCAAACTTCACAGGAATGTTCCTTTGGTGGTCGGTCACCTTTAAAAAATGTCCCTATGCAGAACTCTGGAGACCATGGCAACCAAAAGAAGAAAAAAAAATCTTTTAAAAAACACAAAGAATTAGAGCTTAGATATTTGGCATGACACATCTTCTAGTAAGTGTCTACCAAGTTTATTCAAATAAAAGCCCTGGGGTCAAATTTAGCCATGTCCCGGGGGTCATTGATTTTCCCTATATGTATATAGTAAAAAACAAAGAAAAATCTTCTTTTAGAAATCCTAAAGAGCTAGAGCTTATAATTATATTTTGTATGAAACATCTTCAAATGGGTGTCTACCAATATTGTTCAAATAAAAGCCTGGGGTCAAAAATTGCCCCACCCCAAAATTTTCTTTAAAAAAAACCAAAGAGCTAGAGCTTAAAAATTAAGCATGAAACATCTTATAATGTGTGTCTACCTAGTTTGTGACAATGAAATACCTGGGGTCAAAGGTTGTGCCGCCTAAGTGGGTTATTGATTTTCCAAATACAGTATAGGTATAGTAAAAATAAAACAAACTTGAATAAGCCAAAGAGCTAGAGCTTTTATATTTAGGATGAAACATTTTCTAATGAGTGTCGACCAAGATTGTTCAAATAAAAGCCCTGGGGTCAAATATTGTCCTGCCCCAGGGAACTATTGTAAATGTATATAGTAATAACTTCAAAAATCTTTTAAAAAACCCAAATAGCTTGAGGCTTAGATATTAAGCATGAAAAATTTTTCTTATAGGTGTCTACCAAAATTGTTCAAATAAAAGCCCTGGGTCTCCAATTGGCCCTGCCCCAGGGGGTCATTGTTTTTTCTTATATGTACACATCTTTATGAACTGTTGTTTTACCTTAACAATAGCAATCAATAATTTTTACACATGCACTTTTTCAGATACAAATATGAACTTTGTGATATCAGTTTTAGATGTTATATTGCTTTTTATAGATTACAATATTACTTGTGCCTTGTCATGGAGAGTTTTATATTCAGGTGAGGGATTTCTGGGCATTCATAGATGTGATGCATGATATAATATGAATAATATTTTTTATACTTATAATTAAATTACTCTTTTGGTCTGCCTCTGCCATTAAACGTTGATAAGCATTTTATATCCTTAAAAATTATGGTGTGACTTAATTATAATTGAATTATAATTGACTTTACTTAATACTTGTTTATGTGTGACTGCGAAAAAGACAACAACAACAACAACAACAACAATTTATTTCAGCATTAAGTAATATACATTTACTTCTAGCCTACAATAATATAATAATGTGTATAGTGATAGTTCATATAAAGATTACATAAGTGTTATTATTTAAGCAAAGGAGCTTTTGGTTAGTTACACGAGATTCTTAGTTCATTTTAAATAGATGATTACTACTGTTCTAATTCTGTTCTCCGTTTGTTAGCAAAATATAGATATTTAGATAAATTGATAATTTCTTTCTTATTTTGAGACATCATTAACTTATCAAATTTTTGCAATGTTGGCCATGTAAAATAATAAGGCTTCAAAAATGTGTGTCTTAAATCTATATATATCGGGCAAGTAAGTAGAAAATGGTACTCATTTTCAATGAGTAAAGAACGACAAAATTTGCAAGTTCTTTCTAATCTTGGAATATTATAGTATCTACCCCTCTTAATTTCAAGATTGTGTGATGATAGACGAAATCTACTATGAGCAATTTTGAAACGTCTTTCTAAACTGTAATAATCAAGATAAGGTTCGATCGAAAATGAATATTTTGTCCTACAATATGTTAAAAGTCTTTGAGAGTTATTTATTTCTGAAAACCAGGTTTGATGATATTAGTCTAATATTCTTTGTTTTATAAATTCAAAAACAGGAATATGTTGATATTTATGTAAATCGTTCCACATATCTGAAAGACCCAGTTTGTTTAATATTGTTTTAATTTGATATGCCCAGTTTTGGCCATTATAAGTTATATTGTTTTCTGCATCTAGTTTTAGCATATTATACATTTGTTTTATTAGTTTGTTGTCTTCAAATTTTTGAATTTTTAACCAATACCTAATCATGTTTATTTGTCTTACAATAATTATTGGTTCTCTACCAAGTTCTCCATATAATCCTGTCAGATTTGTTGATATATTAACAACTAGGATTTTTCTGCAAAATTTAGTGTGAATCTTTTCATTATCACTACCTTCAATATTTCCCCATACCTCCGAACAGTAATTAAGAATTGATGCTACTAATGAGTCAAATAATTTACATTTTTCACTAGTTTTGAATTCATATTGATGAAGAATAGCAAACAGTCTATAAAGTGCTTTCGATGCATGTTCTGCTATGCTTTTTTGTGTTCGTGACCAATTTCCATTTTTAAAAAGGTATATTCCCAAATATTTAAAAGACGTTACTATTTTACTAAGTTTTTTGCCATAAAGATGAAAATCAAAATGTGTAGGTCTGCCTCTTTCGAAAATCATAACTTTGGTTTTATCTATGTTTATTTTAAGTCCAAAGGTATTACAGTATATTTCGATGTCCTTAAGCATGCTTTGTAAGGTGTCGGGATTTGTAGTAAATAATACTTGATCATCAGCATATAAAATCAAAAATAGACTAAGCTCATTTAAGGTGAAAATCCCACCAAGGTCTGCATTTATATTACTCATTAGATCATTTACGAACATCATGAACAATAGAGAAGAACTGGGGTCTCCCTGCTTAACGCCTTGATGAGAGTTTATAACATCATAATGTACTACCCCATTATATTTAATAGATGCTCGTACTACAGTGTACATTGCTTTTATAGCTTTTACCATTTTTGTACTCACATTTTCTGTTATAAGTTTTTGCCAAAGAAAAGAACGATTAATTTTGTCGAAACATTTTTCATAATCAATAAATATGGAGTACAGCTTTTTACCCGAATAAATGACTTTTGAAATAATTGAGTGTAAAAGGAATATACAATCAACTGTGCTCTTATCCTTTTGGAAGCCAAATTGACTATTTACAAGTTTTTCGTGTTTTTCAGTCCATATTGTTAGCCAATTAAGTAGAACCTGAGAATAAATCTTAGATAAAATATTGTTAAGTGTTATACCACGGTAATTATTTGCTAGTTTTGGGTCACCCCCTTTAAATATCGGAAAAATATATCCTTCTCCCCAGATTTCCGGGTATTGTCCATTTTTAAATATTTGGTTAAAGATTGATAAAAGAAAAGGAGAAATTTCACTGTATGAAGATTTAATAATTTCTGCCGACACACCGTCCGGTCCGGTAGCTTTAAAATTATTTTGTTTAAATACAGACTGCGAAAAAGACTACAAGGCTTCTTAAACAAAATCAAATGTTGAAAGCCAATATATTTATAGATACGTCTTTGTATGTTAGTTGTTACAAATAAAGATAGTGTATTTATTTTATATACAGAATTATGATAAATTTATTTTGTTGTTATTTCATATAAGCTAAAATTGATCATGTAACTTTGTTCTGTAAGTGATGCTTGAAAGTTTTTTAACTATTTGATTTAATATTTAATCTATTTTATATCAGTGCTCTTAAGTATTAAGTATAAAAAATATCTCTATGATTTTTGTAAACCATAGTTTGGCAAATAAAGCTGGCACTAAATACTGTAGTTTATGGTGTTCTACAGAGAGCATTGTATGCACGTGTAGATAAAAATTGTCATATATGTGATGCATGATATAATATAATAAGAATAAACGTTGTGATTTGATTTGATTGTTTGTGTTATGTGTTAACAGCATGTGAATCTGAACATGATGATATGACATTCTTGTTCGTGGTTATATGTTTAGATTAGAGTATGTGAATCTGAAATGACTGATTATCAGCTAAGGCTTTTTCGACAGCATTTAGCAGAACAGGTACATTAATATTGTGTGTCAGTGGCGATGATTTGTATTGAAGAAATATTAAATGTCATTAGTTAGTTTATTTATTAAAGACCATAGCACTTTAAATCAGTTCACTAGCACACTTGAAAAGATCTTTCTTGATAATTATTATCATCAAGATTGATCAAAGAGTCTAATGATCAACTGATTCAGATGTGTAAAAAATAAGGGCTTTATTTGGGACTCTATGAAACGTAACCAAGGTCTGTAGGGCCCTCTATATGGCATGTAATTAAAGCCGTGATATTAGCAATAATGACCCGCTATGGCTTGTTATTAAAGTCATGATATTAGCAGTTATGGCCCTTTATGGCTTGTAATTAAAGCCATGATATAAGCAGTTATGGCCCTTTATGGATTGTTATTATAACTGCGATATTAGCAATAATGACCCTCTATGGCTTGTTATTAAAGTCATGATATATGCAGTTATGGCCCTTTATGGCTTTTAATTTAAGCCGTGATATGAGCAATAATACTTCTATGGCTTGTAATTAAAGCCGTGATATTAGCAGTTATGGCCCTTTATGGCTTGTTATTAAAGCCATGATATTAGCAGTTAATACCCATTTAAAGCCATGATATTAGAGAGCGGTCTAATATCCCTACAACAATGATGTTTTAGGGTTGGCTTTTTGAGTGAAGGCACTTCAGAACTTTAAGACATAAGAAATTAGTTGTCAAATAAAATATCATTTTAAGTTTTAGTTGTAAATGAATACTATTATACACAAAAAAAAGAAAAGTCCCCGGGGACTATTCTTTCAATGGGAATTGCCATTAAAAAATAATGCCCGGGGACTATACCGGGATTATATATAGAGAGAAACGTTTTCATTTTCAAGTGTATAATTATGACATGTACAGAAGGGAAGTATTCCCGGGAAAAGGGTTTTCTTTGGGTACTTCAATATTTTATAAAATAGGGCTTGGAGATGTTTGGTGTGACTGTTTTAATTGTTCATAATAAAGAATGAATACTATTTTTCTTGAAAAAGAAAAGTCCCCTTGGTATCTACGTAATATGAGTGAAACATTCCTTTTTTATGGTGTGCATATATCGTGTAATAGAGCATGTAAACAATTTCAGAGGGGACATAGCTGACATTTAGTTCTACTTGTTACTTTGTATAGTTGTTGATATATGTTTGATTACCTTTAATTTCTGTGTATGAACATTATTATTTATATCATTATACATAACCTTATTGTGATGACTGTTGGGCAGTTAAAGATGATAAATTCATGTTTTAACTACATGTTAATACAAACAGTGGTTTATCATTATGTCATAAAGCCATCATTGGTAAATATCATAAAACTAAGGCTATTATAATTAAGTGTAAAAAAATATTTTGAATAATATTCAGAATGCTCTAAGAGTAATAAATTCAGTTGAAAATGTTAAATCCTAATAACAGCAAATACAAATATATTTTACAAGCCAATGGCATCTTTTTCTCCCACTCTGTCAAAAGTTTGTTTGGATCAATCTGCGTACATACTTTCATTCTGATGGAATATAAACATTATACAAAACCTATTGATATTTCTTTTTTATAATGCCAAATAGTGTTAACATCATCATAATGAATAACAGACAATAGTTGCCACATCCAGATGTCTGAGATATTTTTAAATGATATATTTAGCAACACAACATTAGAGGGAATATGCAATAAAAAAAAATAATTATGCAAAAGGAACTAAAAACATGAGTTTATATTATCACTATGGTGGTATCATCATAACAATAATGACAATTATGGAAAGGATTAAATTAATTACTGCTACTGAGTTATCCAGGAAGATCAAAATATGATCAGATGTATTTCTACCATTATGTTTTTATCATTTGTTTAATCATCAATTATAAATGTATATTGTCATCAACTAAATTGAGATTGACTTCACATTATAGAATATAGATGAGAACATCATGACAAATGTTTAATACTTATGTCAGTCATCTACAATTAATGTTAATAGATGATATTTACTAAAATATTGTTGCTGCCTGTACACTTAATATGTATTGCATCTGAATTCATTGGAGTGAACTTACAATGTTCATAAAATGTTCATATTGGTACTTTTTGTTGGGTTTTATGTTGCAACAACACTGTAAAGTACAAATGACGACTTCCCAGTTCTCTTGTTGGAGAAATATCTTAGAAGACCCATTGTGCATTGTTTCAGAACACAGAACGGCACCAGAGAAGAACCAAGTGTTCCGTATGGTAACTTGATAGCTTCTTCACATGAAATAATCCAGAGTTCCTAGTGTGATTCAAACACATAGCGCCAACACACAGCGGTCAGGGGCAAATGTTTTGAAGTCAACGACCTTAACCATGCAGCCATATATTCATTTTACATTTGGTCAATGGTAATCTGAATGTACATAAGATGTTATTATGAATGATGAAATACAACTGAATGTAGAAGTCTCAAAGCACACAAAGATTATTTGAAGCTCATCAAAGCTTAACTAAGAGCTCAAATTGTCTGAAAATAAAATAAAAAGGAAATACATTGTATAACATTATACTGTTTGATTTATTGTCTGTCACTAACAGTAACTGTGCTATAAATAACAAAAAAACACTTGCAAAAAAAAAAACATTCAAAAAGAGGTAATAAATTGAAAACATTGCAGAACTTACTCAATAATTAAACATCTAGGACTACAAGAATATTCATTATGTATTGAGATATCATCACAATTTCTGAGATAAGTAATCTTACAAGGGTTCACAGTGGACAAGTGATGAAGTTTCCTGATATTGGCTCATGCACTTAGCCCATCACAGCTGTGCATTATATAGTTTTATGCATTTGATTATGATTGAGTTTTAAAAGTTATCAATAACACAATGGTCATGTTGCAAACATGTCCTATAAAGTATGAATACACATATTTTTCATAATTGGAAAGTTAATACGAGAAAAAACAAGGTGAAATTTTCAAGAAAGAAGGTAAGTGAGACATATATATTTGATACATTTCCCTGTGAAATTATCTGATATTCATTCATATGTTAATAATCTACTCAAAAGCATCAATTAAACCATTATACACAATAACGTTCTTAAAAATTCATAAAAGGTCTATTATGCCTCAGAAATGTTTTCTTTCAAGTCCAATTTAATCAAATTAATATTAAAAGCACTTAACATAAAAGGACTGGAAATATTTTTCCAACAATTGTGTACCATTTTATGTATGTCTAGACCAATAATTATGCGGCAAATGATCAAATCGTTCCGCTTTTTCCAGAATCATCATTTTAAGTGTGCTAAATAGCAAAAAGCATTGCATATTTGATCATTATCCTTTGCAGATTTTGGAGCTCCTTTAAGTATGTAAACCTCTGAGGATAAACAATTTAGAATAATTGAGTTTTAAAAGTTGATCCTTATCTTGACCCTTTAATTTTAGTGAACACATAGCCATCATATGATAAGCATTTGGCATCCTCTAATACTATCAATTAAACGCTATAAAGCTCATAAGAGAAGGAAAAATATTCTTTTCCGAGGTATAATGAACCTTTAAACACATTAGACAAGCGGGCCATGATAGCCCTGAAGCGCTCACCAGAAACAACTGCTTTTCAGTGTTGGAAATTATCCATTGTCAATATTTTCTAATTTAAAATTTGAGCAAAGAATATCGGTATCTTTTAACTATAATTTGAAAAAATGCCATGACCTGGGGCATTTAAGCTTTAGCTTAAACTGAGCTTATCAAATTAATATGAGCAAACTTGATAAAAGACAACCCAAGAATGCTACAGACAAAGTTTGGTGATCATCCATCAATTATTTCAGTAGGAGAAAATGTTCAAAGGATGTTCTATTTTTAGCTTTAGTGGCCCCTAAAAGGGGCCAATCAAAGTAATATCAACAAACTTGATAAAACAATACACAAGAATACTACAGACAAAATTTGGTGATCATTCATCCATTAGTTCTGTAGAAGAAAAAGTTCAAAGGTTTTTCCATTTTTAGCCCTTGAGACCCCTAAAAGGGGCCAATCAAAGTAATATGAACAAACTTGATAAAAAAACTACCCAAGAATGCTACAGACAAAGTTTGGTGATCATCCATAGACAAAGGTTAGTGATCATCCATAAATTAGTTCTGTAGTAGAAGATAATTAAAGTTTTTTTTTCTATTTTTAGCTCTGTCGACCCCTTAAAGGGGTCAATTGATGTCCACATGAGCTAATTGCAATGTGATTGTCACAAGGATGCTACAGACCAAATTTGAAATAAATCTGCCCAGCAGTTTCAGAGAAGAAGACGATTGTTGACATCAGTTGACGCATGATGACGGACGGCGTAGCATCCCCCTTTGATACTTATAGCTCACCCTGAACCTTCGGTTCTGGTGAACTCATTAACATTGAAAAACTGGCACTGAGTTTTACAAGTAAAACATTGCATACTTTATCTTAGTATATGATTGCACCTATCTGGATTACAGGGTTTTTTCTCTCCTTAGTTAATGGTCTCTTTGATTTTGGGCAATATTATTGCTAAATTTGCTGAGTTGGGAAAGTAAAAATATGGTGTATGATAAGGATTTTTAGGAAATCTGCAGGAAAATCTCAATTGGGAAGAGTAATATACAAAGTAAAAATGTCCTGAAGTATTAGATTTATTATGGAGATAGTTCAATGACTTGTTGTTTCAGTGTTAATGCTAATCTTTTAAATAGGGGCATACATCCAAAAATATTGCTTTCAAATGTATGCCCCTTGTCTAACAACTGCACCTTGTTATTATAAGCAACTATTCCAAGTTGCATGTGGATAACTTTATAAATGTTTAGATAATGGGCTACATTAAAGTTTTTGCATGAAGACACCAATGTAACAGCAGTCAT